GGTACACACACCTTTCCAACAGGGTAAGGGTCTACTTTCAAGCAGTAATTTGGAGGTCATTTGTGGAGAAATTTCCTCTTAGGATCACTTTCTCGTTTTTAAGGTCTACAGGGAAGGTCTAAAAGGTACTAATTTAGGTTTCCTTCCTGCCTCTTTTTTATCCTTGTAACATAATTTAATAAATAGATAAATCAATACATGCGTAAAAATAGATAAATACATATTATTCAAATAAAGCTGGAATCACATATATCAAACCAGTCAAGACTGGATTGCTTGGTTTGGTAGAGGATTGACTGAATGCCCAGGTGTGCAGAACCTGAGCTGCTCACTAATGAGATGATGCTGGTGCATTCTCTAAAAAAAAAAACCCCATATATTTCCCCTTTTGTTAATTGCTCAAGGCAGTCATGTACATGTTAGGGAAAACATATAATATCACAAACTTTAAACAATATTGTTTAAAAATCCTATTCCTACACAGTTTATTATACTCTTTTCTTGCAGGATATTATTTCTCTGTAATTATTACTGGGTATAAACATGCTGATGTAATCATAATAATTTAAAAAAATTGACAAGCCCATCTCAAATATTACAGCAAAAAACCAACCAAACAAAAATTTAGGACTTTTGTTTGTAGATCAATTTCAAGCCTCAAAGAAAATGACACATTTTGAAGTGTTTACTACAGACTACTTTACTGGAATAGGTAGATGTAAAAATAGATCAAGATTTATAAAAAGCTGTAGTTACTTGGCTGAAAATAGTTTTACTTTTTACTCAGAAAGAAACTAATATGTGTGTCTGAGGAGAAATTTATTTTTTCTCCCAGTTTCTGGGTGCTCGTTGCTCATTAAATAGCTCAACTTTTTTGTATAGACAAGAAAAATTATCCGCTGTTTTCTTCTGAGTTAGGTCTTACTTTCCTATCCCAAGGAAAACCAAATTTTTTGTATTTTTTTTTTTCCCCAAAGCTTTTTGTTTTATGGCTTTGAGAAAGCCAGTTTCCTCAAATATTCTTATGGTCAGCAGCGGAGTCCTTGGTGGGAATTGCAGCACATGGATGTCCTTTAGGTGAAACTGTCCACATGGTAGGAGGGGTGATGTTTAAGGCCTGTTTGAGCAAGGTCAATAAACAAGTGATAGGTACATATATAATCCTAAATCAGTGATATAACTCAGAGTTAAAATTACCTGCCACTCTGACTCATGTCCCAAGGACTTTTGTGACTTTTTTCTGTGCTAAGCCTGAGAAGAAGTTTCCTTCTAATTAAGCTTTTAGGTTCTCACAGAGCGCTTTTTAGCTTTCAATATGTCACTTGCTGCATGCACATCTTCTAACCTTCCAAACCCACATCTTTGCCAGGCTGCCAATGTAATATAAAGATCTGGATCTTTCCCCTCAAGCACTTCCTGAAGTCTTTTTTTCCCCCGTGTCATTATATAAAGCATATAAAGATGGTGATCTTTCTTTTAAGCTTGCCATCTGGATGTCATTCCTGATTTTGTCTCTTTTTAAATATGCATATTCAGGCTAGACCTGAAATGACGCAGCTTCTTTCTATGCAACACTTCTAAAAGCTGTACCTTCATCAGAAATTTGGTCATGGCTTCATCATCTCAACTCTTGGTATTTTGAGTTCTTCCTCTCTGTTATGAAATCCCACATTTACTACCTTCCTAGGGATATGAAAACTGGTGCTGTGAAACTTACTTTCCTGGCTCCATGGAGCATTCCAAACCCTTTTTGCATCACCTTGCCCTGCTGCCTCCTATCAGTCCCAGGTTTCTTGTCTTCACCTGCTGGGTAAATTGCATCACCAGCCAAGTCTTTCCCAGGTTAGCTGATCTTGAGGTGAATCCTGGAGTGTGTAGTTCCCTCCTCTCCATGTCTTTATTCACATGTATACCCCTTGTCTTCTGGAACCAGGGCTCACAGCAAGGGCTGTTCCTGAGGGAAGACAAGGTGTAGAGACTGGCACTTCCAGGGCTGGATCTGCCCTGGCTGCCCTGGTTTTAGACTGTCTTTATACTTGATATTCTCTCCCTCTACCTATGTTTATACAGCAAAGAGTAAACAATTCTTATTGACATCTTTGGGTGCAGTTACAAAACTACAAAGCTCAGCGCTGTTCATCAATTGCAATCCATCTCCTGTTTTTCTGTGATCACTGCTTTGTGCTTTGAAAGAATGTAACTCTATTTATAAAACTAGATTTCAAAATTCACAAATGCTAAGAATTTAACAGTATTTTTTTGCAATAGACTCTTTTGATCATAATAGATGATTGTATTATTTTAACCCATTGTCATATCTGTCAGTGTTATTTAAAGAACAAGATTTTCTTGCAGCATTCACAAGATTGGATAGCTATATCAGTGACAATACTGATATTGTTTTCAGAAAACTAAATTTGTTTTAAATTATGAATGATGAAACTGAAAGCTAAAATATAAGGGATAATAAAAATGTTTGGCTTCCTATGTAACTTTGAACCAAGAACTCAGATATCCTATTCCAATTGTTTGCATAGAGATTAGCATGCTCTTAAAACTCACTAAAAATATGCTTTTCATGTCATTGCCCTTCCTGGCAGTGGAGTTTAGTGGTTACTGTACTAATGGCCAACTGTGAGATTGTAGCTGTATTTTGATTAAAAACCACCCAATACTTGATAAATTAGCTGCAGCTTCACTTCCTCACAGTCTGTACTTGTGATTTTTCTTAGGCTAGTGAATGTAATTAAGAATTAGGAGACTTGTCCTGCTGGATTAATACTCCCATGGGTCCCTGATACTGGCAGTGGCCAGTAATTGATTTGTAGGTGAGAGAACACCAGACGCAGGACATGTGGGAAGAAAGTGGGCTCTTTGTTCAGCAGACCTGCCTGCAGGCTGCCAGTGCTTTAGGGGCTTCCCGAGTCAAAGCTGAGTCCCTGGTCACTGCGCTTAGTGGCTGCTTTCTGCTGCTTTTCTGCTCTGGGACTGTCTCTAACCTTTTGTCACTCACATGCAGTTTCGTTTTCCACAGCCCCTTGTGGCAGAGATTTCCACAGTGCCATTGATTGTGCCTGTGGAAAACAGTATCCTTTTTAATCCTTTTTTGTTTGTTTAAACTTGTTTCTTCCTACTATCACTGGGTATCCCTCAGTTCTCCTATTTTGAGGCTTTCTCTGTTCCACTTCCCTATGCTCTTAGGAATCTACAGACCTCTGCTTTATCTCCCTCTCACTTATCTTTTTTCCAAACTGGAAAATATTAGGCTACGTATTCTTTCCTGTGTGAGTTGTTTCTTATTTTTGATTGGCATGGGCAATAAGGAAACGGATGTGAAAAATGCAGCTTATCACTACAGGAGAATACCGAGGCAACTGAGCCTGAGCGCTGGCATTCCTCTTCCAAAATACTGTTGTGAGTCCCGGGGACAAAGTATCTGCTTCTCATGCAGTTACACCATTAACTCACAAAGTAGCACTTTGTTTCCTGTGTGTCGGACACTCTTCTCCCCAGAGACAGAACGGGCGTTGAAGGATGTTGTTCTTGGTTTCAAAGTTTTGGGGTTTTAAGCAGAGGAATGCAGTTAAAGAATTGCAAAGCTCAGCACGACAAATTCGGTAATAGTGGAATTAAGATGAGGCTACATCATGGATTTGCCCCCATGTGTATATATATGATACAAGTTAGCTCCTAATCAGCTCCACAAGCTGTAATTTCTCTGTGGATCTCTGTTAGTTGCTGCACCGGGCAGTCAGTGCTGTCCTGGATCTGTGGAGGGAAGGAGGCTGGGGTCCCTCCCCTCCTTTGGTGCAGAGCTGAAATATGTGCTGAATGTCGAAAGTCGGGGTTTCTTGGGTGAAAAAGCAGGAGGCTGCATGGATTGCTGCCCCTGCCTCCCCACGCAGCTGCAGTGTGGAACAGAGCAGTCCCTTCAGCGAGGATTCCATGCGTGGCCACTGCTTCTGGAGTTTTGTTTGTAGGGAGGAGGAGCGTGTCCACCTTGCTGATGTGATTGTGCCATTCAAGAACATGATAACAGCTCTGTGTTAGCAAAAGGATGCACGTGTGTACAGGCGTGCAAGACTGGACATTCATGGGTTGTTGCTTTATATCTTCACAAAAAGGAGAGAGGAAGCGAAGAAGGAATTCCCTGAAAAGTAAAACTTCTGCTTTGTTGTATTACGACCATCTGCCGAGTGCTGGGTGTGCAGAAACACCCTGGGCAGTAAGATATTACCCAAAGGGGAAGGACACCACTGGAAGATCACCGCAGCCTGTTCCCAGCAGAGGCGGTGGAGATGCGAAGGGTGAATTCACCACGCACTGAAACCAGAGTGCTCTGACCAAACACAGAGAGGGATGAATATGGGGCTGTGACATCCAGCGACGGGTTGACACTCGGAGGAGAGGGTGGCCTTGATCTGAATGGCTTAAATGAGTGAGAAACCCATTCACCTGCATGCTCACAAGGAAACCTGCTGAAGAGTGGTGAAGGGCTTTAATCACTATGACTTTTTCCCATTTTTCCCTCTTGGTGGGAAGCGACATTAGGGACGCTTTGGCTTTAAACCTCTCCGCGCCTTGGCTCTGCATCTGTACGAAGGGTCACCAACACCTCCCTCCCATCCCGTGGGCATCCCGAGCCTCATTAATGTTGATGAGGCACTCAGACGGGCGCCCCACCAAAGCCCATGGGGACACCGCTAATTACCTCCGCGGCGCGCTGTCTGCCGGGGGGCGCAGGGGACACCCGGGGGCCGCCGCCACCCGCGCCACACAAACACCGCGGCGTGCCGGCGAGCTCATGCATATGCAAGAGCTCATTAGCATGGCGATGAGCGGGCCCCGCCCCCCGCGGCCGTTTGTACGGCGGCTCCCCGCTGGCCCCGCCTTCCGTGCATATCCCGCCCTCATTAGCATGCAGATAAGCTGTGCCCCGCCCCCTCGTTAGCATGGCGGTGCGCGGGCCCCGCCCCCGGCGGCCATTAGTGCCGCGGCGCCCTGGCTGCGGGGGCGGGCGGTGCTGCGCGCTCCGCTCCGCTCGGCGCTGCCGCACCGCACGGCGGGCCGGGCGCTGCTGCTCCTGCTGCTGCTGCTCCTGTTCGTGCTGTTGCCGGCGGCGCTCGGCGCGGCCGGGCCTGCGGCTGCTCAGCCCCGGCGGCACGAGGAGGAGCGGGAGGAGAGCGCCGGAGAGAGAGAGAGGCAGGCGTCGGACCCCGCGGCGGCGCTGCCGCGATCGCCCCGCTCGGCTCCCCCATGGCCGCGGGCTGCAGGGACGGCCCGGGGCAGGAGAAGTACCGGCTGGTGGTGGTGGGCGGCGGCGGCGTGGGCAAGTCGGCGCTCACCATCCAGTTCATCCAGGTGAGGGGCCGCGGCGCTCGGGGGGAAGCGCTCCGCCCGCCGGGGCCTGGGCGCTGCCCGGCGCGGGGGGCCGGGCGCCGCCGCCGGGTGGGGTTCGCCGGCCGGGCGCGCTGGGCTCCGGGCGCCGCGGCGCTTGGGACCGGCGGCTTCGGTGTCGCGGGCGGGGTCCGGCCCCGCGCTCCGCCCGGGAAGCGGCAGGCGCGGCCGGGGAGCGGTGACACTCGGCGTCCGGCTCCGAAATAGCTGCCCCGGGCTGAGCATCTTGTGCTGGCCCGGCGAGGGGCCAGGAAGCTCCCGCGGCTCCCCCCAGAGCGGGGGTGTTTGCGGCGGGGCACGCCGTGCGAGCGGGGATCAGCCAGCGCCCACCGCCCCTCGGAGCGCCTGCTGTTCATCCTGCAACTTGCAGACAATTGAACTTTTTCGTCTATTCGTTTTCCGTAAAAACCGCGCCAGAATAGGCGATACAAAGGGTGCGTGTCAGTGTTACGAGGAAGGTCCCTTTTTAGTGTTTCGCCACGAATTCAGCCGTACCTCCTTTACTTATTTTCATCCCCTGCCCTGTTGCTGTTAGCATTCCTACCTCTGTTTATGGTAGTAGGAGGAGACGACTACTTGCGTTGTGCTTGCTGCTGTTGCTGACGGCAGAGCAGCAAATCTGGAGAGCATGGCTTCTTGTTTGTTTTCTTTTATTCCACTGTGGAGAGCCGGTAATGCTCTACCTACCTCTAAGATGGGCTGCTTGGCAGCGGGGCAGACTTGTCTTTTACTGCTTGGGGCAATGATGTTCTCAACTAATATTTTGTTAGAGCAAAATAGGTGTTGGGTGATCTGATAGCAGATAGACCATTTCTTTAGTTCAATCGGTTTTTTCATTCACATATATGCATCCGTGTGTTTATTAGCTCAACTACTCTGTTAAGAATTTAAGCTCTGCAGCATAGACTAAGTAACTACGTAGAAAACATTACTTTGAATTTTTGGGTAAGTACTGGATACCGGAATGCTTATAAGATCCAGTATTGTACAGAACATTAAAAGAGGGGACCCTTTGGGAGAACTAGTTCTTTGGAACTAGTTTAGTTTGACTGGTTTTTTGAGATGCATTGTACAGGTGTCTTTTGTCAGGCGTGTAGATGGCCGGTCAGTTTCTGGTAAAATGCTGGCTGGTGTGTTTGAAGGTGGTGGGGCTGGAATAGCTGCAGTGCTCTCAGTGTGTGGATTGAATTCCTCATTGCTTGCGTATGGAGATAATTAAACCCTGAGTTTTCTGCAGCTGGTTTAGGGTGCCATTCACTGCTGCTGTAGGTGGTGTTGCCTGTGTCTCGCTGTGGCAGTCGTGTGTGCAGCTGGATATGGCTTCAGTTCTGAGATGCTGCTGTCTTGGGAAATGTTGCTGAAGGGATTTCTGGGTTCTGTGGCAGCATTGAGGGCTTTGGGATAACTTTACCTTTGCAACAAAAAAATTGTCATTTATACTAAAGATGTAAGAAGGGAAAAAAGGGAAGTTCACACTTGATGCCTTTTTATAGCCATCTTTTTTAAGAGCAGTAAGGTTCTGCTGAGTACTGGATAGCTTCAATATTTGAGTACTTGTAGAAATTAATTCTTTAACCTAATAGTTTGAGCTTATATTAAATATAAACATAAATTTTGGGCCAAGTGCTGTGACTGACACTTGTCTTTCAGCAAATATCTGCAAAAGAGGAACCCGTGTCTGTTTTGCCATGTATAAGGATCTTTTCAAATTAACAGCAGAAAAATAAATAGTTCACTTTGAAAGAGTGTTGAGGGAACAGCACTGTGGCATTAAGCTGACACATTGAGGGTGAATTCTTCAAAACAACTTATTGTCAGTTTGCATTAAGTTATCTCCATCTTCTTGCCCTCTCAGCAGCTTTATCCTGAGATAAAATCTTACCATTGCAAAGTGAAGTTTAGCAGAAAAATCAGCCTTAAAAAACCCCCAAACAACCCAAAACAAAACCGAGGAAAAATAGCTGGGAAATAAAGACCTGGGCAGTACTTCAGGTACCCTAGAGAAAGAGTTTTGTGTTGTTTCTGTGCTTGCTGTGTGGTTTTGGACAATAAGAGATGAGGCTTGCTGTACTATTTATATCCCACAGCGTCTTCCTGAGCTCTTGAAGCTGTGATGTTATCAAGTGTGTGCTTTGCCATGCAGGCACCTGGGTAGTTTCTGTACGGCAAGCGTACTGCCAAATGCATTGTTTGTCTTTTAAGGCTGCACAGAAACTGCTCCAAGTTGTTTTAAAATTGATTACAAGCAAGTCACATGCTTCATTTTTGGAATTTCTTAGGATTAAGTGACAAACGTGTAGTGGCCTTCACTAAAACATGGATCAGTACTAGCTTTTGCTACATGACCGATCCTGATGTCAGTGGAGGATTTAAATTATGTTTTGCTTCTTTATTGCTTGTGTTTAAAATAAGGCTGTCATGAACTGAAGCTTAAAAAGGAAAGCTTTTTTCTTCTTACTGATACTAGCAAATATTTCGACACTTGGTATTGCTTTCCTTTTTAACTTTCAGTAAATCAGTACTCAAGTGCAGCTTTTACTTCGGTGCTGGTTGTTTTCCAGTAAATCTGACTTTTGCAGTGGTAGAATATCATGGGGAAGCATGTGCCACAATTTACATTGTATCTTTGAAAGACAACAGGGGATTCATACTTGAAAATGGGAAAACTCTTCCTTGATTTCAGATAAAACAAAGGGGAACATGAGAAAAAAACAAAGGGGAACATGAGAAAGTGAGGGTGTAAGAAGAACCAGTTAATCTTCTTTCTTTTGCCAGCTTTCTGGGATGCCTGCACAGCTCATCCTTCCCTGCCTTGTTTAGATGATGGTGGGAAAGCAGAGAGCATTCAGTCCTGCAGGAGCAGCAGTGGCTGCGGTTAGGGCAGTGCAGAGTACTCCTGTGCTTGCTGTCCTGTGTGTGAGAATATAAGAATATATCAGTTCCTGCTGGTTATTGTGCCTCAGTCTGGTCTGAAACAGCAACGTGTTTGTAAGGAGGCTGAGTGAGCAAACCCATCTCATGCCCTGGAAGCTCTCTGGTGTCCTGAGTCCAGCCTCACTGTGCTAATGAGTGCAGGGCTAGAGTGAGTGAGGTGTAACTGGTCACTTGTGTACAACCGCCTGGGCTCACCTCTCAGACATTCACCTGACACCTTGGAGTAACTTTAGAAACAAATTAGCAGATGAAAGCTTTCAGTGGTTAATGAGTAGCGTGTTCCTCAAAATTCTTCCTCTAGGGAGGTACGCACAGCTCAATATTGCTGTTGGTGGGCCAGGATTTCATCCTGGAAATATCAGATCATTTCCTTTAAATCAGGATATGATAGATGGATTTACTGCTGTCGAGCCTGTGCACTGGTAAGACAGGAAGTGAAGATGTTTTAATTGTGGAGGAGAGTTAATGGGATGTTGCTGCTATAAACTCTAGGAAAGCAGCAGTGAATGATAGTTCAGCATTACACCACAGCATTTTGTAAAAGGCTAAGTGGTAGAAGTAAGCATTCCTTCTGTTATTGAACACATACACAAATAATCCATCATCCTCACATCCCAAGAGGCAGAAAACTTCTAAAATGCATTGCAGCCAGTTAACTGGCCTCTTAGCAGGCTGAGGTATTTGGGAGTATGAGCTGTGCAGAGCACACAGCTGTTGCCACAATAGCTTTTCTCCAGCTGTCATGCAGAGGTCTGTCACAAAATACCCCACATTCCCTTGTAACTCAGCCCTTTGTAATATTCAGGTTTCCTTGCTCAAAGGGAATACAGCCTAGCAACTACCTAATCACCCTCTGATTTTTTTTTATCCTGCAGTTGCCATTTACTTCATGCTTTTTTTTTTTTTTTGTGAAACTGAGCAACATATAGCTAGTTTTAGCAGTATGTAGCAAGAAAGCCACTAATATTTTATTTTCTGAAGTCTGCTGTGCAAAATACTGTCTATTTCTGATCAGAATTGATGAATTTGTTTGTCCTGGTGTTTTTTCCTCTTTGTAAAACTATGGCTTTTGTTTTGTGACAATGACATGTATAGTTTTGCATACTGAGTAGGTTTTGGTGACTTGTATGAATGTATCAGTTAATAAATGTCACTAGATCCTTGAGATGATGTTGAATGGTTGTAGTTCAGTGTGGCTGAGTTGAGCTGAGTTTGTCAGTCAGCTTAATGTTACCTGTGGTAAAGCATGAACATGTTTGGAACTGCTAAAACACTTAACACAATAGAAAATCTGTGTAGGGCTTCAGCGTTTGGGGCTTTTTTATTTGTTTACTGATTTCATGCTGTATTTACAAGCTCAAATCTTACTGCCAAGTTTGTAAAAGAAAATACTTTTCCTGCTACCATTAAAGTGCCTGTAACAAATTCTGATTGGAGCTGAGCTTACTGTTCCACTCACTAGTGAGTAAAGTGGGTTGGATTTAGATTTTTGACTCTTAAATTTTAATATCAGACACTTTGCTTGAAAGCAGGCATATGACTTGCAGATGGATGGGTGAGCAGTTGTTCAGGCTTTTTCCCCTCTTTTTCCTTTCCTTTTTCAAGCTGCTACTTTCACAGGACTGTTCTCATTAACTAGCAATAAACCCAAAGGTGGGTTATCTCCAAGTGTCTTTTATCTCTGAAATAGCTGTTGGGCAACAAAACGGCTTGTTCTGAATTTTATGCTCTATATATGAATTCCAAGCTCCAAAATAGAGTAGTAAAGTAGATTGAAAAGCAACAACTGAACGTGCAGCTGGTGTTGGAGCCAAGCGTGCTGGGTGTTTGACAGACCCTGATGTCTTGGTGCCCCATTTCCCTGTGCTGGACTTGGGATGTGCAAATCCCTCCACAGTTTCTGGGTATTCTGACTAACCCTCGGTGACCGTCAAAAAAATGCTCATGGAGTAAGCGCGCAGGCAAATGAAAGGAGTAAAATGCCACGGATTCCAGGCTGCAGATTCACGCAGGGCTACGCTGGGACTGGT